TCCATTTGGTGCTTCGTCTGAGAGGTGGGATGCAGATCTTTGTGAAGACCCTCACTGGCAAGACAATTACTCTCGAGGTCGAGAGTTCTGATACCATCGACAATGTGAAGGCCAAAATCCAGGACAAAGAAGGGATCCCCCCAGATCAGCAGCGGTTGATCTTTGCTGGCAAGCAACTTGAGGATGGCCGGACGCTTGCGGACTACAACATCCAAAAGGAATCCACCCTTCACTTGGTCCTCCGTTTGAGAGGTGGAATGCAAATCTTCGTCAAGACCCTTACTGGGAAAACAATCACTTTGGAAGTTGAGAGCTCCGACACCATCGACAATGTCAAAGCAAAAATTCAGGACAAGGAAGGCATTCCCCCGGATCAGCAGAGGCTTATTTTTGCTGGGAAACAGCTGGAAGATGGTAGGACTTTGGCGGATTACAACATCCAGAAAGAGTCCACTCTTCACTTGGTTCTGCGCCTGAGGGGAGGCATGCAAATTTTTGTGAAGACCCTTACCGGCAAGACTATCACCTTGGAAGTGGAGAGCTCTGACACAATCGATAATGTCAAAGCGAAGATACAGGACAAGGAAGGCATTCCCCCAGACCAGCAGCGGTTGATTTTCGCAGGTAAGCAACTCGAGGATGGCCGGACTTTGGCTGATTACAACATTCAAAAGGAGTCGACTCTCCATCTTGTCCTCCGTCTGCGTGGTGGGATGCAGATCTTTGTCAAGACCCTGACCGGAAAGACCATCACTTTGGAGGTGGAGAGTTCAGACACCATTGACAATGTGAAGGCGAAGATCCAGGATAAGGAGGGCATCCCACCGGACCAGCAGAGGCTGATTTTTGCCGGGAAGCAACTCGAAGACGGGAGGACTCTGGCTGACTATAACATCCAGAAAGAGTCGACTCTGCACTTGGTCCTCCGTCTCCGTGGTGGTTTATGAGTTCTATGCCATCTAAGGGTTTTCATACGGTCAAGTTTGTCTGTCTAGTAGGTTGGTTTGCCATGATATATAGTCATGATGTCTTCTGATGGATTGCTTTGGAACTTATTATGAGACTCTTTAGTCTTTAGTGTGATTGCCTATTTACTATCGTTGGTACTGCTACAATATCTCTTTTTTGCGCTTCGATCTATTATGATTTTCAGTCTCTACATCTATCTATCTATGGAAATATGGCGAGTGAGTTTATTTATCACCATTTTATAGAGTTCAAGCATAAATATCACTCCAACAGTAAATAGATGTTACACAAAGACAATTGTACGGGAGTGCCAAAATGGTTTGAGATGGTTTTAGTCCACTAACAGGAAATGAATAATTAAAGTATTCCAAAAATGTTGAGTAATAAATTCTTGGACAAATCTTCATCTAGAAAAATGAAATTCGAAATTCTATTTCTTTGTATAAACCAAGCGCAGCCAACACTTTTGTTAATATAAAGTGCAAATAGGATTGTCTCCTGCTTTCCTCCACTTTTATGATTGACTCTCTCTCCACAATGTTATCGAGACATTTTATTTACCTCTTCTTTTTCTATCCCCTTAACCAAAGCGGACCGGTTCTTTGGCGCTAACTCAGTAATTCTACGTGGAAGTAGAGACGCGACAAAAGCGCAAATGACAATGGAGGACCGGACATAATATCTTTACCTCCGCCCTTATCTTCACTTCCTGTGTTCGGGCGTGCGCCAAGCTGAAACGACACTCGCCACAACCGGAAAACGACAACACCCAAACATCCCGATGACCTGACAACATCGCCCCTCCTATAAAACCCATCGCAAATTTGTTTCATACCATTCATTAACAAGCTTGTGGCTATTCAAATGCAAAGAATCACGTCGAAAGATTAGGTTGGAGTGTCATTAATCGATCGGGGCAAGTTGATCTTTTGAGGTCAAACTTTAGATCTGTTCAAATGCATCATTTTCTCCGTTAAATCCGCGATCATAGAGAATGGAAAAACTGAACCTTGAATGAACTGAAAATATCCCGGTACCTTCCACGTACTCTGCTCATGTGCACATCCAAACCCTATAAACTCTCCTATAAATACCATGACTAGTCGCCTATCTCACTCACCAAAACACACAGAAGCATCACAACAAATCTCTCGCTTGTGAATCCACAAGCAACAACCAGCAATGGCGAACTTCGCAACCCTAGCAGCTATCTTTGCAGCCCTCCTGGTGATGTCCCATGCCGCCTCGGCCCACCGGACCACAATAACCACGGTCGAGATTGACGAGGACAACGAGAGGCGCGGAAGTGGGAGCTGCCAGGAGCAGGTCCAGACCCAAAGCCTCGAGCAATGCGAGCAGCTGTTCATTGACATTGGCCGAGGTGGTAGCCGATTTGGCGGCAGCGAGAGGGAGCGACTGATGGATTCGCAGCACTTCAGGCCGTGCTGCCAGCAGCTGAGGCAGGTGGAACAGCAATGCCGGTGCCGGGGAATTAGGCAGATCGTGAACGAGGAACAGAGCGAGTTCAGACGTGAGGGATTGCACAGGGTGGTGAGATCGGCTCGGGACTTGCCTTCGGCATGCGGTTTTTCGAGTCCTCATCACTGTGAGATTAAAGCCATTTGGTTTTGAAACCCTAGCTAGCTAGCTTGCTTATGTGGGCATTAGAAGATGGAGATGGTTCATGAGATGTTAATAATGAGATTTAGTTCACTCTCGTTTCTTTGGCTTTTAGAATTAAGAGAGCTTTTAATTCACGCGATCGCGTGATAGTTTTGATTCGCATTTTGACCAGGAGCGGTTGGTGAGGCTTTTGTAGGTTCACCAATACATGAATGCTCATGTAATAAACGTATCTCATCTTCTTTTGATCTAACTACTTGCTCATGCTTGCTGTCTCTGGTTGCTTCTTCGATAGCTCAACAATACATGAAGTAGGTAGCAAAATTTACAGTATTGAATGTTATGCATGCACTTATCAATATCTCTTACTCCAAAGAGTCGGATTATCCATCTATAAAGAAAAGAGTAATGCTAGATATATTAAGACTTTATACTGAACCATATTTATTAAATGACGTGTCGATCGATCATTTGAACAAGTCAATTATTAAATGCATGTATGTTAGTTGTTTAAATTAGCCAATCAAAAATTCGACACACTTAGTAATAAACATATTTTAGCGAGAACAATTTAATACATCTACCATTATCAAAAAGAAAATAGGATGCTGATTATCCTTTACTTCTTATTGACCGTGTTTCTTACAAGAAATAAATCGTTGACATAGATGTCTTTTCCGTGACAACTACCAATGCAAGTTTAAGTCCGAATAGTTCAATAATTGAGAATGATATTATACCATCTTTCTGAATATTAACTCTAATGTTTCAGCGACTATTCATGTGGTTTGATAACTGTCATCCCCATGGAATCTTGTCTGAAGTGCATCCTGGAAGAGTTATATTTGATTCAAGGTTGGGATTGTTTGCTCGAGCAAGTGATGTCATTGAAGATTGAATGGAGATCGTACACGATAGAATTAGGTTAGTGAAGCAGATCAAAATTGAAGAAGACGGGCAGAAAAACCTACAAAGCTTGCTTCGATAGCGGGTCGAATCTTGATGCAGTCCAGCTTTCAAAACGCCATAGGAAATGAGAAAAATAATATATCTAAGGAGCTGCGTCAGCGTGAGCTTGTCTATATTCATGTTCAATACCACTCACATGGACTAGTGTCTCGATCTTAAGCCCTCTTGTGTAAAATAAATTTTGCATTGTCAATGTACGTTATAAATTTCCATGAGAAAAATGTTCAAATAATTAATGCCAATAGTAAGAAATAAAACTGGAATAAATCGAGCAAGATGCGTGTTGCGGTAGAAAGAGGATATATATATCGTACTTGTCAAGTAGTTGCTCAATGCATCATCTAACATATTTACCACACATTGGAGGTTCATAATTCGGATTACTTTGCGCATTGCTATGTATAAAATGTGGATTCAAAGGGAAATACTCGCTTTATTGTAAAGCATTTCAATATTGAAGAGATATAGAGATATTTTACTGCTTGTCGTCAGTTAATTAATTTCCTAACTAATATATTTATTTCTTCACGAAAGTAAGATTATTCGATTATGATTTACTATGCTTTCGATAGTGCTCTCACTTATTTGTTTTTCCTCTAAATCCTCAAGCGGAACTTGTGAAATTAACTCGACTTGTATGGTATTGATTGGTTAAATTTCTATTAATAGAATGGATTATTTACGAGAGGTGAATTTATCTAATGCGCAAAGTTGGCTCAAGATAGTACTCGATCACTATATTGAGAGACAACTCTATAGTTTAACGCATATGCATAATCTTTCAAGAACTACATTCATTTAACATCTTTATTACGAACTATGGAATGTACTTTATTTGCTGGGTTACATTACGGGTGGGCATTTTACCAAGAGGTCTAGTATCCCGAACTTTTTCAACACGTGCAATGCACGTGCTTATCTTGCTCCATTAGGAATAGAGGAAAGGCTTCTAATAAGGGGTCATATTTTCTAGAAATCTTTTGTTGTTGACCTCCATTTCCTAACATCTCTGAAAAAAAAAAAAACAGCCAAATGAATATTTTTGCGGTGGTCTCCAGTCCACCAAATGTGCAAATCTCTTCTTTTCTCTGACCACTTCATTCGCTATATTTCATGCAAAAGTGCAATTCAACTGCGAATTTGAAGCGCAAAGATGCTTGCCCCAACTGATCAGCAGATCTTTATGCTGATACCGAGTCAAAAAATGACCAAACGCAAACCTTGCAAACCAACCTGATGACAAATTCCTCCCATCCCCGTAGCTCAACATGCAAACCCTACAATCCCCTATAAATACCCTCATCATCCACCACCTCTCTCACTCACCATAGTAACAGAACCATATATCAGATATCAAGATCTCTCTCTCTCTCTCTCTCTCTCTCTCTCTCTCTCTCTCTCTCTCTCTCTCTCTCTCTCTCTCTCTCTGGTGACAAACAATGGCGAAGCTTGCAACCCTCGCAGCAATCCTTCTGGCCTTCCTGCTGATGTCCCATGTCGTTACGGCCGACTGGACCACGATAACCAGTGTCGAGATCGACGAGGAAGGCCTGAGGAGCGGCTGGAGCTGCCGCGAGCAGTTGCAGAGGCAAGATCTCGACCGCTGCGAGCAGCTGTTTGAGGACATTGCCCGGGGAGGCCAAGGGGGCAGCGAGAGGGAGCGGATGGAGACGTCGGAGAACCTGAGGCCATGCTGCCAGCAGCTCAGGCAGGTGCAGGAGGGGTGCCAGTGCGAGGGGATAAGGCGGATCGTGAGAGAGAAGCAGGGCGAGTTGAAAGGCGAGGGGAGCCGCAAGGTAGTGAGGTCGGCTCGGCAGTTGCCTTTGACTTGCGGGGTTGGTCCTCAGCCCTGTGAGATCAGAGCCGCTTGGTACTGAGCCGTTTCGGGCTTAGGAGATGAAGATGGTTCATGAGATGTTAATAATGTCCAGTTCGCTCTAGTTCTCTTCGTAAGAGTAATTAGAGTGTAGGAGAGAGTCCTAAATTAATCCAGGCGATCATTCAGGGTTTTCATTTGGGTCGGTTCTCGAGTTTTTGTGAGGCTTTTGTAGGTTCTCATGTAATAAAAGATCTCGTCTCTTTCGAATTATTTTATTAGTTAGTCTTCTTCAAAGTTAACGGCTCCACATGTGTAGTTGATGCTCACAGGCTGTTCACTATATAGAAGACTAACTCAATCACCGTCATTGAGAACGGAAAAGTTGCAGAACAAGGCTCGCATAATGAGCTGATATCCTTGCGATGTGGCGGTGCCTACTACTCTCTGATTAAAATTCCAGAGCGGCAGCTTCCCCAGTAGAGCAGAGACAGATATCTTGGGTCACATCTTGTTCTTCTAAAAGACGAGCTTAATCCATAGTATGACTATGCTAGTCTTTGTTTCTCATGTAGTATACTCAAGGCAAATGATGTGATTATCTGTCGAATGTGCCTAATATACTTCCAAGCACCACTGAACTGCAAAGAGTCATTTTGTTCAATTCTGAGAGGAGTTGGCTTCATAAAATGAGGTTCATTGTCATCAAGCAAACTATCAACCAAAATAGGTGCATTTGACCAATTCAAATGAACAATGCAGCTTTCACAGAAAAAAGAAAGAAATCCAAAGAGACGAATGTCACGACCTTTCTAGAGGCGAACCGCCAGAAGGAAAGCTAATGGACTACTAAGCCAAAGACCCACCAATCGTAACTTGGTACTCGATTTTAATACAATTTCCTTGCCCTTTGGAGCCGTCACTAATCAATTCGGGTCGATTAGACACCGAAATAAAATGTGCGAACCAAAAATCCATTAGATTCGGGGACTTGATCGATTATGCCAAATTAATTTAATGTCCTTGCCGTACCTTTTTTCTTTTTATTTGCAAGTGGTCTTGGTCGATTCTAATTCTAAATCACTAACACGCAAGGGTGATTAACCGTGAACTGTGCAGGGGCAAGAATTGCACAATGAGGGGAGGAGCGTTCACGAGGGAGAGAGAGGGAACCACTTTCTTCGCTTCCCTTTCTTTTTCTGTATTGAAAAGACGCTGTCTCTGGCCGACTCCCCTCACTTTTCCTCTATTTTAAGTATGGCCGCCTCCCCTTTTTCTTTTTAAACTGGACGCCTCTCCTCCTTCTTCCTCCACTTTCATATTGAATATTTGACTATACATTCTGAACCTGACTAAAAGATCGATCCTTGTTTATTGTTTACCGACCACACATTGGGAAATTTCTTCGGAGTTTGAAAAGGAATAATGACATGTGATCGGCGTACATGATGATGACGACCCCTTGGTGAAGGCGTGTCTTCTTCCTTTCCCTAACGGTGTGTTCTGTGAGCTCCCCCTTCTAATGTTCGCCCTCTTGTATGCTATATAAGCACAAATCTAGGTTGGTCTTACAAGAACTAATATCCTACTTTCCCATCTTATATTAGGAAAATTAGCGCATCCCTCTCTTATTCTCTCCTCATGATCAAAATTTTCAAAGATAATGACTTTATTAATTCAAAAGTTGATCAAGAACGCAATCTTTATATGCAATGAATGCCTAAATGGGTCACCAAAATTTATATGTCAACGATGAATGACCAAACTCCCTTCACGAAACCGGTATCATCTCGTAGCCTAAGCATAAATGTATTTACGTATGTATATTTACATATTTGAGGAGGTCCAAAGAGGTGACTTGATAAGTACTGCTTGCATGTGACATTACAAAAGAAATAATAAACTGACTCTAGGAAATATCCCAGCAAGTTCCTGACCATGTTCTTTTACTAATCAAATGCATATCACCTAACCCGGTCCCTTCCCTATTTCCCGTAGCGGGAGCTCACCTGGACTACGGGAACTCACAAGATAAAGTCACAATGCAATTATAGTATTAAGAACAAAGCATCAGACCGGTTTTTTCGCAGATTATAGACTTTTCCCGTTGTATTTTCAGCTTCAGTTTCGTTCCTGTTGATCTACTTCTGTAGAGACCCGAGAATCGAGCTGTCCAATTTTGTAGTAATTTCTTGTGCAGCAAGAATCTCTTGGTGAGAATGCTATTGCTAGAACTTCTTTGGACAAAAATGGAACCATGGCATCGGGCAAGACTGGCCTTTATCTGTCCTATAATTGATACGACACACCCACACCAAAGATGCGCAAAAGTTAACATGACCAGATTCTCCTCCCAATGCAGTCTTTCAGGCGAGAATTGTAAGAAGGTAAACAAAATTCACTCTGTTTACAAAGACCAAGATTCTGAACCAGCCCAAAGAACTCACTGTAATGAAGGATAAGGACTACATACATGAGAACCAAACAGCAGAAAATAAACCATTTCTCATGCAAACACTAACCAGCACTGCCCACTATAAAATATTACCGGTAAAATCAATCTCATTCTCAACCCTCCCCACACAAGGAAGAGTCCAACTCAGCCCTTAGTCAAGCAAAATCAAAGCTAAAGCAACAACAGAAATCCCCACTCGCCAAAAGCTAGAACCCCCCAAATTCTTACATACCCCAGACTTTAGCTCGATACCCTTCGTGGTGTTCTTAGCACCCTCATCATTGAGAGTCACATTAGCACCCACCATTAACTTATACTTCTTGGTCTTCGAAACCAAGGTCTTCAACTTCAATGCAGTGGCCAAATCCACCCTAAAGAGCAAAGACTCGTTCTTGGCCACAACATCAGTCCAATTCACCCCAAAAGTCTCCACACTTGCATTCTTCGTGGCCTTCTTCCCATACCCCTGGTAAAATCCAGGAATGGTCTTGAGCCACTTGGTCTGATTCGTATCACTGTAGTAATAAACGGTGAGGTTCACGGGGTCGTAGTGAATGCCCCTCGCGTGGTTGCCGTTGCTCAGCTTCACGTCCAAGAAAATGGTGGTGTTCGCGGGAGTGTCCGAAGATCTGTTGAGTGCTGGGAGGTAGAATTGCTGGATAGAGCAACTGGGCATGGACACGGGCGGTGGGTTCCACAGGCAGACAGCTGTGATGCCGAGAATGAGGATTAAGCCACAGCAGCAAAAGCAACACCATTCGGACTTCGACATGGTCACCGAAGGAGCTCGCCGGCAGCGAAGAAGGCCAAGAAAAGAAGAGCCGGAAGTCGTTTTTTGATCTTGTGTGGTGTTGCTAGCGCTTAAGAACCGTTGATGGTTGTCTGCAATGGAAAGCAAGAACGAGCAAAGGGAAAGTTCTTGGAACGTGCAGCAGACGACTACAGTCAGCTACGCCCGTTCACTTGTGGTTGACCATAATGTGGCTTGCGCTTATTCTTTGTTAACTATACCAACTCGAAGAAGGAGAGATTAAAAAGTAATAAAAGATGCTCGGTCTACCTATCAATCTAATGCGGACGCGGTTACGAACCGTGTAAGAAAACGACCATTACTTTTGGATTAACAAAAGTTACGATACGCGTGATACCAATTCAAAAAGCTTATTATAAATTATGTTGTGGGGCAACTCTAGATACCCATCCATACTCATTTCGGAACCTCAAAATTTATTATTTAGGCATGTCTCGTGGCACTTTATAATTTTTGTCATTCCGCCCCCCCCCGTGTTTTTAGGCTTTTATTTATTTTTCCGAATTCCTTGTTGCTTAAGGTTAACGTTGGATATTTGCAGTGTCACCTAAGATTAGTAGGGTATATATTTTCTATGTATCAAATAAATTTTCGTCATATTTTAGGGAATACAAAAAAGAAAGATTTCTCTATTATTATTTTTTTGTTTTTACTAGAACAATTTTCTTTTTTCTAGTGTTGCGCCCGTGAGCACATGTGTCTCAGAGCCTCTTTGCGGACCGACGGATCCATGCTTACCTATCGCTTCTGCGTCACATTATTTGAAATCTATCACTTCGTTATTGTTGAACTGCAAGGCGGAAAAATGGTCATGGGCTTATTCATCGTCTTTGCACAACTTATATGAATCGTCCCATTAAAGTACGTCTCGGACCCATGTGACTTCTGTCTTCATCGAAACCTAGACATGAAAAGGCCTAATTTCCTAAAAATTCCAAAACTTTAGGTTCAGTCCTATACTTGTCTCGAATTTTTTTTACATTTCATAAAAAATCACAAATTTTCACTTTAAATCCAAATCTACCGTACAATATTAATTTTCTGTTGGAATGTTGCCATTTAATTCCAACGTGTCATTCACTTGTCATCTTCGCTGTCTTCTTTCTCCATGGTCAGCTCGGGTTGAATTTTTTTTTTTTCAATCTTCCTCTTTCTTTCACTTCCACTCCATGGACAATCGGACCACCATCTCGAACACAGAGGAAGCCCAGGCGCCGCCACACACCGGTCGCTGCCGCAACAGCTCGTGTGCACGTTGCCACCACTTCCTCAACATCTTGTCGTTGTTGTAAGCCTAGATGCCGCCATAAGCCATCGAGCACAGCCCGAGCCACCACCCCCTCTATCTGTCGGTTGATAGTTGAAGTTGGGATCAGGATCCAACGTTGCCTAGCCCAGATTCGGAGTCGAGGCTGAATGCCATTACAATGAAATAAAACTAAAATATATCCGAGCAAGATGCGTATTACGATGAGAGGAGGATATTTATCGTATTTCTCAAACAGTTACTCCATGCATCATTTAACATGTTTACTACACATTGGAGGTTCATGTTTCGATTCAGGGATAAATTTGCGCATTGTTATGTACAAAATGTGGATTTAAAGGGAAATACTTGCTTTATTGTAAAACATTTCAATATTGAAGAGACTACTTATCCAAGAAATGTAGTTTCTATAGAGACTTTACAGCTTGTCAATTCATTTTCCTACCCAATATATTTATTTGTTCATGAAAGTAAAAAATTCAATTTTGATATACCATACTTTTAAAAATATTCTCTTAATTGTTTTTCCTCTTAATTCTCGAGCATGACTTGTGAAATTAACTCGACTTGTCCAGTATCAATTGGTTAAATATTCTATCGTTTGACCGGATTATATTGGAGAGGTGAATTTAGTGTGATACGTAAAGTTGGTTCAAGATATGACCCAATCACTACACTAAAAAATAACTCTATAATTTATCATATGTCTAATTTTCAACAAGCGCAATGAGCAGGCTTTTTTCCCCCTTTAAGAACAACGGAAAAGCTTCTAATGAGTCATGCATCGTGGAAATCTTTTGTTGTTGACACCATTGCCTAGCATATCTGGAAAAATGCTTCTCAATTTACGATACACTTGATGAAGGTAAACAACAACAACAACAACAACAATAAACAACTAACACGACTACTATTGTTGCGGTTGTTTCTAAAGCCACCAATTGTGCAACTCCCTTCTTTTCTCTGACCACTTCATTCACGGTATTTCATTCAAAACTGCAATTCCAACTACGAATTTGGAGCGAAACGATGCTTTACTCCAACTGATCGACAGATCTTTAAGCTGATACCGAGTCAAAACAATGGCCAAACGAAACCATTGCAAACCAACCTGATGACAAATTCCACCCCTCCACGTAGCTCCACATGCAAACCCTACATTCCCCTATAAATACCCTCATCATCCACCACCTCTCTCACTCACCATAGCAACAAAACCATATATCAGATATCAAAGATTTCTCTCTCTCTGTCTTTCTCACTCCTTTGTGACAAACAATGGCGAAGCTTGCAACCCTGGCAGCGATCTTTGCGGCCTTCCTGCTGATGTCCCATGTCGTTGAGGCCCACTGGACCACGATAACCAGCGTCGAGATCGACGAGGATGGGGATGGCCCTAGGAGAGGCGGGAGCTGCCGCGAGCAGCTCCAGAGGCAAGATCTCAACCGCTGCGAGCAGCTGTTCGGGGACATCGCCCATGGCCGCCGAGGGGGCAGCGAGAGGGAGCGAATGGAGTCGTCGGAGAACCTGAGGCCGTGCTGCGAGCAGCTCAGGCAGGTGCAGGAGGGGTGCCGGTGCGAGGGGATAAGGCGGATCGTGAGGGAGCAGCAGGGCGAGTTCAGAGGCAAGGGGAGCCACGAGGTGGCGAGGTCGGCTCGGCGCTTGCCTTCGACTTGTGGGGTTGCTCCTCAGTACTGTGAGATCAGAGCCGCTTGGTACTGAGCCGTTTCCGGCTTAGGAGATGGAAAATGATTCATGAGATGTTAATAATGTGCAGTTCACTCTAGTTCTCTTGGTTTAGAGTAATTAGAGTGTAGGAGAGAGTTCTAAATTTATCCGCGCAATCATTCAGGGTTTTCATTTGGGTCGGTTCTCGAGTTTTTCTGAGGATTTTGCAGGTTCTCATGTAATAAAAGTCCTTTCAAAATTATCTTATTAATCAGTCTTCGTTAATGTTAACAGCACGAGTTGCTTATATTTCTTTCGTTTTAAGACTAGCATTTCTCAAAAATATATGATGAAGGATATGATATTTGATATGCACGTAGCCAACCGAACTTCCAGGTTACATCCAAAGCGACAGATCATAAGAAGACAAATACTTTTAGGTATTTATATCGAGTTTGGCCATTAACGATTTTTCGTTGCTTCCTCTTTTGGCTAAGATGATTAACGCATTCGATTGATTCTTGGACTTGACCAAGAAGAGGAAGAGCACCGATGTTTGGAAAAATCGACTAAACTACGCTCATGTCAAATTCGACGTGGAGGAGTATCTGAATAAATATATTATTGCCTCGACTCGACGAATGGCGTTAAAATCGAACCTCACAAAATTAGAAAACAGTTATTTTTAATATCCAGCGAAAATATCTAAAGGAAAACGCTTGTTTATGGAGTTATATCTGACCGATTATTTAGGAAGCTGACCCTTCATCGTAGCATTTGTGAGTAAAATATCTACGTCTAATACTCCAGGATAGACTCTTAGATGGTGGAAAGAAGGCCAAAAATAAAACTAACCTACCTATTATGCCTCCTGGTGAAACGTGCCAAATCGAAAGAACACTGACCACTTCAACAAAATATATGGTTCCTCCTTTAGTGACACGTAATATTCATTCAAATTCATTTATCGTCGCATGTGCAGATTCACGCCAACTCATTTCATTTTCTTATTTGAGATGTAAATGTCATGCGAGACTCACTCTGTATAGAGATATCTAGACAAATCGAAGAAGCTGTTGCGCGGTACAAGACCAAACCCCATATATGACTTCATGAAAAACTGTGATAGCATTTCAAATTTCTTTTTAGTTTCCACACTCTTACAACTATCTTTTGCTCTCATCTGCTCCATTTACTCTCTCTCTCTCTCTCTCTCTCTCTCTCTCTCTCTCTCTCTCTCTCTCTCTCTCTCTCTCTCTCTCTCTCTCTCTCTCTCTCTCTCTCTCTCTCTCTCCAAGATGTAGGTGGAGTACATGAATTTTTCCAAATAACTATATAATACGGTGAATTATATTTTTCTGTGTGACCAATTTTCTTATTACATAAAAGGAATTCTTCAACTGAAAATTACTACTTCTCCGTACTAACACTAGTATTAGGCAGCGTCTTAAAGTCCAGAATAAAGCCTTCGCATACTTACATTTAAAATAACTTCCTTTCAACTTCATATAAGAGCACAAAACATGATTGAAATATCTTGTCCATGAGTTTTTCTATGGACGATCACATGCCAACATGCAGTGGCAAATGATTTTCCCACCAATGTGGTTTCTAATGAAAAAGACATTTCCATTTTACTTTTTAAGGTTGTTCTTTTGCCTTTGTAGAGATAAGTTAGACAGGGGTTATTATTATAGGGTTCCACACATAAAACATTACAGTCCTAGGATAGCTACAACGATATTATTCCAGAAATCGTTCCTCAAATTATTTGGTAAATCCCTTAATAAACAACTTTCAGAAGTAGGGTTTTTTAAGCAGCCTGGCATTGTTAATTACCATCACTGATGTGCACTAGAATGGCGGTTAAGACGTTTACATTGGAACCATTTCATACGATAAGCACTCTCACGAAACAATTTTAAATATAGAGTTTGCGTACTTTTTTGTACATGACCTTTATCTATCACCATCGATATGGATGTTCGGTCGATCTTTCGAACAACAATATCTAATCTATTGTGATAAATATGGATTATGTTAAAAAATGAGTACACAAGTTGTGTACTGTATAGAATTCTCTCTCTCTCTCTCTCTCTCTCTCTCTCTCTCTCTCTCTCTCTCTCCATGCATGTGAACTGTTTCACGTGCCAATGAGATAACTCGACAAATCAAGAAAGGAAATAGCTTGTGGAAATTAAGGAGAGAAACAACATATAGCTAATTCCCAGATTGTAATTCAAGAAAGATGAGATTTTATTAGGGATAGAGACGGCCTACGCGGTACATAACCCGTACGTACACTTAAAAGAGAAACCCCACACGATGATGTGATGGTCTCTAGTCTCTTCTCTCTACTAGTCCTACTAAGTAACACCATGCCTCCCTCTAGAAGAGCCAACAGACTCGGTCAGCTTTTATTGAAAGGCCATGCACTTTCTCATCTGATCTCTTAGCTCTAGCTCTAGCTTGACTAGTTCAGTACCAAATGGCTCGGATGTCACAGTACTGAGGACCAAACCCGCACATGTTAGGCAAGTTCCTTGCGCACTTCATCATGTCTTGCGATCCCCGACCTCCGAACTCGCCCATTTGCTGTCTCATTACCTGCCTCAGCCCCTCGCACCGGCATTGGTCTTCCATCTGCCTCAGCTGCTGGCAGCATGGCCTGAAGTGCCTCGACTGTGTCATCTCACTCAGCCTTTGCCGCCTTGGCCTCCCCAGCGCCCGCTGCCCCCCTGGCCATCGTACCTCATCGCGTCCTCAAAGAGCTGCTCGCACTGCTCGAGGCCTTGCCTCTGGATCTGCTCGTAGCAGCTCCCGCCGCGGTGCCTCTTGTTCTCGGGCGCATCAATGTCGACAGTGGTTATTATGGCACGATTGGCCGCCACGGCATGAGACATCACCAAGAGTGCTCCAAGGATCGCTCCTAGGATTGCAAGCTTCGCCATTGCGGGTGTAGTTGGTCTCGCAGGAGATTGAAATTGTCGATTCTTGATGATTGCTGCGTGCTTCTGAGGAATTTAGGGTTTTGCATGTGGAGTACGTGGGTGGTGGCCCTTGGCATGGAGGAAACGGCGTGTCTGGTGTGACATGTAATGAAAAGGTGGCTTATGCATTTTGAGTGTGACTGTGATTTTTCATGGTCGATTTGCATGGAGAGTACGTGGATGGTGATATTGTCAGGGTCTAGGGTTTGATTTTATTTTGTCTTTTTCGGTGCCCTGTGCATGGAGGGAACGTCAGTGCATGCATGCATTTGATCTAACACGTAATTCAAAAGTATAAGCATTATTGATCAGAGACTTTCGTTTGAGCATTGAGATTCTTATCAGTTACAGTCTTAGGAGCGTGATTTCTCGCGAACGCTTTGCAGAGTCTCTTTGTTCCCGTGATCCTTGAATTTGAATTGGATATGACTCTGAATGATCTCGTGTACTTACCTAAAACTTTAAAGTAAAAGGTTTAGATGTGAGAATCAATTTGTAGGATAAATTTATCAGTCAATGAAATTTCCAGAGTTCTAATGTATTTCTTTGAATAAAAATAGAAAACCTATGATATGATGTTGGATTTGGGAGGTCAATTTGGGTGCTACATTTTAATACTTTCACAATTTTTTTACTCAATAAATTGACAAATTTTATTCGAACAAAAAAAAAGTTGACAAAGTTTAAGCGGGGTGAAACCCCTCCGTCTAAAAAGAAGATGAAAACACTACGAAATGTTACACTTCATAAGCAATCGATACAACAAAGGGAATGATCTTATGTTACAAGAACCGTTGATCCAAAGTACCAAAAAAGTCCTAAACCTATTAAATTATGTCAATTCAGTCCTAAACATTTCAATTGTGTCAATTCTTTTTTGATCGAACAATTGTGTCAATTTAATCATAAATATTTTCTACATTTTGCCAATTGAGTCCATCCAGTCAATTTTGGATGGAAATTGCCAATGTAGACGCAGGCCGTCCTACGTAGCATTGTCAGCGCTGACATATATTCTTTTAATAATATTTTATTAATTTTTTGTTTTTTCTTTTATTTTTAAATTTTTTTTTCTTTTTTTCCTTTCATTTTGGTCAACCAGGGGCATCGGCAACGCGCTCTTTAATCCCGAAAAATATAAATTTTGCTTGTAAGCAAAAGTGTTATTTCAAATCATCAGAAAATTTGAAAAATGATATTTGTGTTTTTTTTTATTATCAAAACTTGATTAAACTTTAATTGAGCATAGGTTTTTCGTCTGAATCCCATTTACTCAATTTTTGCACCTATGAAAAGCCCATGTTGAAAAGAATAGTGTGGGGATTGTGAATTTCGGGGAATCGAACCGAATGAGTGGTCCTGATATTTTCATTTTTAGGGCCCCTCACTAAAAAAAAAAGGAAAAGAAAAAGGGAAAGAAAGAAAAAATAAAGAAAAGAAAGAAAGGTGGGGAAAGGGTATCTGATTTCAAAACCAATCTCAATTTTTTTGCTTGTGAAGTTTCGTTGAAAAAAAAAAACTCCAAGGCAGCTAGTACCATCCACCAACGCATCACGCAATGTTTAATCCCACAATTCCTCACGAAATAATTTTTTAATCTCACGAAAGAATCACAGCAAAATCTTACCACAAAATTTAATTGGCTTAGACACTCGAATATCTTCTGGTATAATTCATTAGCATAAGCACCTCAGGATTAGAGGAGAATCTGGCGGCCAATGCGATCTCTGTGCTCCCCATTACACCATGTTGACTTCCACGAGACAAAACACAAGTTGGTGGGGAATACCGACATTTGACCCCTTTCCGACCAGAATCTACATGTTTCTTTGCCCGATCATTACTTTTTTAAGATTTGCCACATCAATTTATACACCCCAATACCATGTACCGCATGAGAGACCTAGTGGGAATTCTGAACAGAAAAGGTTTGGATCCAACTCTATAAATTTTGAAAAGAGATCTTCACAAATAACATCCCCTTCTTATATGTAGGTAAGAATTAAATCTAAATTAGAAAACCCATTTTAGAAAACCTTCTCCAACTAGAAAATCTTTTCCAACTAGGAAATCATTCAATTAGGAAACCTTCTTCAACTAGGAAATCTTTTCCAATTAAGAAACCTACTTGAATGAGGAAACTTTCCTTTTCGAACTCAAAATCGAGGCATAATTTTAACAATTAGTGTGTGAAGCGAGTGCTTTCTACATAGTCCGATCTGGATTTGGAATTTTATGCCTAAAGATGTAGTCGTTTCGAGTAGTCTAAATTAACCATACTGCATCAAACCAAGGATAAAG